GATGAATCACTGATCTAATTATACAGTCTAACAGCAAACAGCCAATCAGAATGCTGCGTTCGTGTGCGAACATGACAAATACAAAATACCCGGTCTTCCTTGCAGGCCCACTATTCTTCCCTTGGTGGGCCTGCATGCAGCTAATGCTTATGCAATAATATACATTATACATAAGTGCATTGTACATACGATTCTATTAAGGTTCTCTTTCAAAAACTTAAAATTTAAACTCTGATTGTGCAAGGGATGATGGATTATTGATCTCTGGCCTACTCTGAGTTTAAGGTTTAAGTTCCGGTCTTACTGTTTGGAAGAACAACCTTAATTGTATCACCCGCATATATTGATAATAGATAGCTTAAGATCTACGACGTCAGCTAGGACGTCAGGGCTAAACAGAGGACTGGGACTACATTAGGACGACATCCTAGTCCCAGTCTTCTGCATAGCCCTGACGTCCTAGCTGACGTCGACGTCGTAGATCTTAAGCTATCTAATATATATATAAAACGTAATTATTTAGAAACATACTCTAATATTCAGTATTGGTAACTTATTACAGGCAATACAGTTGTTGCTGCAGTTGGGATAAAACGAAATGGTCTTTGTATTGTCCAGTCTGATGATGAAGAATTCGTCACGAAAAGAAACTTTAGAAAGCTGATGGATGGCAAGTAAAACAACTATAAGACTGTAGAATTTGTTGATGTAGATAGAGTACTCGACTTTCATGTTTATATATAACTATTATTTCAAGAATTACACGGTTTCTAAACCAGGCATGCACATGTACATCTTAACTTTTTTTTCTATTATAAAAGGACCTATTGGCTTCTAAGGGGATCAGAAATTCTGAACCCCATGTCTCAAGATTTATCATTTTTGCATGATTTTTGCGGAATTCTATGTTGCAGAGTTCAGATTTTCTGACACCTTTTTACAATATTGAGGCCTAAAGCCTTCTGAAATCGCTTTAGTTTTTGGCTTGTAAGGGGGTCAGAAATTCTGAACCCCGTGTCTCGAGATTTATCATTTTTGCATGATTTTGCGGAATTCTACGTTGCAGAGTTCAGATTTTCTGACACCTTTTGACAATATTGAGGCCTAAAGCCTTCAGAAATCACTTTAGTATTTGGTTTGTAAGGGGGTCAGAAATTCTGAACCCCGTGTCTCGAAATTTATCATTTTTGCATGATTTTGCAGAATTCTATGTTGCAGAGTTCAGATTTTCTGACACCTTTTTTCAATATTGAAACCTAAAGCCTTCAGAAATCACTTTAGTATTTGGCTTGTAAGGGGGTCAGAAATTCTGAACCCCGTGTCTCGAAATTTATCATTTTTCCATGATTTTGCGGAATTCTACGTTGCAGGGTTCAGATTTTCTGAAACCTTTTTACAATATCGGGACCTAAAGCCTTCAGAAATCACTTTAGTATTTGGTTTGTAAGGGGGTCAGAAATTCTGAACCCCGTGTCTCGAAATTTATCATTTTTGCATGATTTTGCGGAATTCTATGTTGCAGAGTTCAGATTTTCTGACACTTTTTTTCAATATTGAGACCTAAAGCATTCTGAAATCGCTTTAGTATTTGGCTTGTAAGGGGGTCAGAAATTCTGAACCCCGTGTCTCGAGATTTATCATTTTTGCATGATTTTGCGGAATTCTATGTTGCAGGGTTCAGATTTTCTGACACCTTTTTACAATATCTGGACCTAAAGCATTCTGAAATCGCTTTAGTATGTATTTCGCTTGTAAGGGGGTCAGAAATTCTGAACCCCGTGTCTCGAGATTTATCATTTTTGCATGATTTTGCGGAATTCTATGTTGCAGGGTTCAGATTTTCTGAATCCCTTTTAAGGATTGTATTTTGTCAGTGAACTTTGATGTGGGAAAATATTTCAACTAAATAGTGTAATTGTGCGAAACGTGTTTACATTTGAAGGTTTTTCGCAAAAATAAGGTTTTTTAGCCAGAAATGCGACTTGTTCGCATAATTACGTTTCTTTTTTTAAATTCTGCGGATAAAATGCTACTTTGGAAAATCCCAAGTTAGTTTGGAACACGTTGTTAACAATTAGACTATTTTAGAGCCTTATCTGCTTGTAAAATCTGCAGTGGTCGCAAGGCGATGTGTAATATAAATGCCGTTGTAACAAATTGTACGTGAAAAGAAAACTTAATAGGCTCTAAACTCGCGGGGACGACCTACTTAAATTCGGTAGACAACAAATAGACACCTGATTCCAAGTATAGCCGGTTGAGGAGGACGAATTCAAATCAAGGCTAGACATACCATGACAAGTCAAATTGTACGGTGAGCGTTATCGTGCGTCTGTGTAAGCAAGGCATTTCGTTAAATTCCCAAGGCCGGGCTCGGCTGCGACACGTGTGACTTGGATGACCAAAAAATTTTAGCGCCGTCCTTCCTTTTCGGTGGCAAATCCGCAAATGCTCAAAAGATACCGATTCTGTGCTACTTTTATACTGTCTGACAAACACGTGGTGTATATGGATGACTAATTGATCATCTCATGCATAAATATTCAAAGTATATGGTATTGTGAGAGAAAACTCCCTGTGAGAATATGTGATAGAGATTTCCCTTGATTTACATAAATCATTTAATGACTTTCTCTACATATACACACCGAATTTTTTTAAAGCTACTTCGCCAATGAACGTATACTAGATCGATCGTTTTTGAAGCAATTTAAAACATTCGCATGCAGTGCGTGTTTTATCAGACCATCTTTATATCTGATAAAACACTGCTGCTCGTGTTTTAAATAGTGCATAAAATATCTGCAAATCTCCGTAGTTGCCGAGCAAAAAGCATGCACGATGCTAAATATGAATCTCGACTATGATTGGATAATGGGTGAAGGTGCTATTTACAAAACGTCAATCATCCTTAATGGGCGAAAACAAATTTGTCATAGCCATTTGGGCAGGCGTTTCTTCTGTACCCGCCCGTCAGCTAAACGCTCGAAGCAACTGTTTCTATCTATATTGTCCCGCGAGTGTCCCACGCGTGATTCTTGCTTAAACATACAACTAAGGGCAGGAGCCTGACACTTTCCCCCTGGAAAGAAATGTCAAGCACGACATTGATTCAATGAATCATGAAATCTCCAACAATTACAAATCTCACAAACTTATCCAACACGAGATGCTGCAGTCATTTCGGGCAAGAGTCAGTTCGTTTCTTTATACCGCGTTCCACTAAACTAACATGCACTTAAAGTTTCTTTCGAAGATCACGATCTTCAGTTCCATTACAACGTTAACGTGCTTATCTAATTAAAGAACATCGTTCCGCAGTACGGACAATGAGGTCCGAGGTATGCGAAGGGATTATAAGGTAAGGGGGTTGGCTGCCACATATAAGGAATGGAATTTATTGGTGGGAAAGGCATCACTCCTGGGTGACTAGGCTCTACGAAACCGAAAATAGTGTTCACACGTACTACCAGGTAACCAGGGTATGAAATGCCTGTGACTGGGTTACCCGGTGTCCAATAATTTAGTCTTGGTGGTGGATTTCTGTTTCTGCTTGGTCTAGTATTTTCTATAGGTGGTGGTGGAATAGTTGAATTTTCCATTGCTAGCGGTGGAATGGTTGGTCGTTGTTCATCAAGGGCCAATACATCTGGGTTCCCGACCGCTGGTAACTCTGAGTTGTCTATCTTATCATGTCCGTGCTCGCCGTCTTGAGCTGGTGTCACCGCATCGGTTATGTCCGCCCCACTCCTCTGATCATTCGCCAATGGTACAAATGTTAACTCATCTAATTCGTCTTCATCTAATTCCGGTTGACTAGTAGATGCTGGGAGAAACTGCAATCTCTCTTTGACGAGGCGTTTTTTGGTTCAACAGCGGTTCAACGGGAAGTCAACTACACGGGAACAGCATATTACGATGAGGGGTTCTACTCGGGCCATCAGAACTTTCGGGTTTAACTGTATAGACTGGGCTATCTCCCCCTCTCCTAGTCACCACGACATGTATCTTGTCTTCCCAATGACTTCGCAGCTTGCAAGGTTTATCTCGTTTACGCAGATTTCGTACAAGAACTCTATCCCCCGGTCGTAACTTCGAACTACGGACGCGGCGGTCGTATAGCTTTTTCCCTTTCGCTCTACTTTGTGAACTCTTTTCGTTTGCAATCTTGTGAGCTTCAGACATCGCTTCGCTCCAGTTGTTAACATACTCTCTATAATTAGGGGACTCAGTTGACTCGCTCTCCAGGTTTAGGATCATATCAATAGGTAGACGAGGATGTCTGCCAAATAAGAGATAAAATGGCGAGAATCCTGTTGCCTCGTGACGCGTGAGATTATAGGCGTGTACCATTTTCTGGAGGTGGTCTTTCCAGTGTGATTTTTGCGTTTCCGGTAGGGTTCGCAGCATGGCAAGGAGGGTACGATTGAAGC